AACACCACCTGAGCACCAGGGAGATCGCCTCCTCGTTCCTCTCTTCCCTTCAGCCTTGTAACTCTATCTCCAGCATGTCTAATTGATGGGCTCTAATCTGTATCCAGAACCCCAGCTGCAAGGGAGTGTTGGAAATGTAGCTTTTAACTTTCCAGCTTCTGCAATATAGGAAGGCACAGAGATGGGAATGGATGCTGAGGGCGTCAACTGTATCCCACATGCAACTTGATTAATAGGTTTAACCCAGACGACAACTAAAGAGACTTGGCACAGGGCTTGGCACATAGAACTCACTCAGTAAGTGTTAGCTGTTACTCTTATTCTTATTCTTGGGCTGGGGCACCAGCGAGCATTGCCTAGCCCTGCCCACAAGCCCTAGCAGAGAGTAGCCGATGCTGATCCCCTAGCTCAGCATGGCGCTGTCCGTGGTGCTGAAAGCCCTGCGAGACCCAGCCAGGGGCAGCGGGATCATTGCCCTGCGTGCATCGTGGGCCCAATGGCAAAGTGGAACTCCAATCCTCTCACACCATACTGGGGCTTCAGGAGTGACTGTGGTAGAAGGGACGTTTGGGGACCTCTGAGGAAAGGCTAGCCTGGATCCTATGAAGAGGACAGCAAAGGCAAGAACTTACATTTGTAGCACAGTTTACAGAAAGAGTCTCTATGCACTATCTCCTTTAATTAACCCTCATTATCACCCTGGTGTAGGTAGGACAGATATGATGGTTAAGAAAAAACTGAATAGCAAGAGGTTAGGTAGCATCTGATAAACAATAGAGCCAGATTCACACCCAGTCTCCTTACCTGCGGCTGTATGCTCCTTCCACTCCCTGCAGTGACTGGGGGTGGGACACTTGGTAGCCAATGATGTGCTATGTGGGGGCAAAAATTTGGGACTCACATACACTCTGTGCACTATGCATGTGTACAAATCACCTACATTTTATTCTTTCCTACACTTGAGTGTGGCTCTGTGTAAAGGGCCTTCTGTCTCTCATTGAGACCTACTATGTAATAGTCTTTGGGAGAACCATGGAAAGTATAAGAGGAAGACTTGGTCCCTACCATCAAAGAGCCCATGGATTTGTTGGGAAGATGGCTGCTCATGTGCATAGAAAAGTGAGTGTATAGTGCAAGACAGCAATTGCAAGGCGAGCTGTGTAAAGAGAGTGGGAACCAGGTGCAGATAGGGCTGGTCATCTGAAAGAAGGCTCAGAGGAGTAGAATACAAGCTGGACTCAGGGGCTTTAAATGCTGATGAGACCAAGGTTCACCCAAGCCCAGGAGGAAGTGGCTCAAGCTGTGTAGGGGTGGGGCAAGCAACTCTGAATAAGGGGGCTGGTGGGGAGGAACAGAGGGTAGCATGAGGAAGCAGCCAGGCCAGTGGCCTCTGGAGTAACCTGAGAAATGCCAGAGAGCCAGAAGCTTCCAGTGAAGAGATGGTGTGGGCCCCTGTAGATCTTCAGCCAACTCTCCACAGATTCAGCACCAGCTGGGGGTGGGGGGCAGAGATTGCCTGGGAGGTGAATATAAGGACCAGTCTCATGAACTGCCACACTGCGACATGGTTTAAGAGGCACTGAAGTACCATCCTTTATCCCCAAATCTCCCCACCCTTGCTCCTTATTGAGTGAGAAAGTTTTTTGGGTCATCAAGAACTCCTTCTCTAGGTGCAAATAACCCTGGAAATCTCAGTCTGATGCTTTTATGTCTTGGCTGCACACAATAATTGACTGAAGATTCTCATGCTTAATGTCTGGGGCAGAACACGACTATCTAGAGGTACTAAACACCTTCCAGGTGATTTCACTGCCTGCCTCCCAGGCTGAGGAGATGCTGAAAGCACTGAGTGGGGAGTCAAAAACTCCCAGTTCTCATCCCCAATCCACCATTTTCCCCAGCCTTAAGCAAATCTCCGTAACTGCTAGAGACTCAGTTTCTCCATGTGTAAAACTAAGCAAACCATTCTTTATTGGAAAGGTTTGAGGAGTTTGAGGATGGTGTAGAGCAGGGAGGGGCTTACTGATAATTACGGAAAAATTTATGGCCAGCTGACATGCCAGTGAAGGACATGAACCAGAGCCCTTCATTCCAGTGACACACCCTCCCTCTCCCCACACTTCCTCCAGTAGTACCCAGCCCCTACCCATGAGCGTGAACCTTAATGAGAGGGGGGCCCTCAGTAAGAAGGGGCAAGTAAGAAGGGGCAAGGGGTGGTGGGGACAGGGCAGGAGACTTGGAGAAGAAGGGGAGGTGGGAGGGAATACCCATGACCAGGAATCCCAGCTTGTTTAAGTCCAAAACCATAGGAGATAATCTTACCTATTGCTAACAAAAAGGTGATTAATTATTGAAGCTACTGAGAAGGCCAAATGGCAAGGGGGCAGGGCGGGAGCTGTGGCTTTGTGCACTCTGGGGGCCATGGGGTTGGGGGAGAAAGTGGGGTGGCTCCCCAACCATTGCATCTTTTCCTAAGACATGACTTGTGGCTATAGTGATTCTCTAATCCAAACCAAAACACGGGCCCTGTGGACCAGTTCCTGAGAACTTGTGGGGATGGTGGGGCAGACTGGGCCCTGGGCTGTGCTGGGAAATGTAGGCGGGGTGGCTGCAGATCCAGCCTGAGTTCCTGGCTCAGCCCATTCTGCTTTCCGCTGCAACACCCTAAAGGCTAGGGAAGCTGCTGTCCCTGGACTGAAGCTTGAGCAAGGTTATCCCCTTCCTCTGCCCACTCCTCAGCATGTCTAGAGCAGCAGAGGCTCAGGGGCCAGCAAAGCAGAGGGTTACAAATGGTCTGGCTCCAGGGCCAGCTCTGCCACTCACGAGCACTGTGACCTCGGGCCAGTTAACCTCTCTGGGTCATGACCTTGGGCCAGTTGTTTAACCTCTCTGGGCCTTAATTTTCTCTTTCCTCTAGGGATGATTCTCATACCCTCGGGTACTTATGAGGATTAAATGAACTAGTACTTAACCAGAAAATATTTGGCCCATATTAATTGCTCTGTAAATATTAGCTATTAATAAAATTGGTCCCTCCCCAGGTCCCTCCTGGACCATCCTAACTCTGGGCTCATCACTGAGATTTGGCCTTGGCCTTGAGATGTCTAACTCATCTGGAAGGAGAAGTGGGGAGCAAAGTGCTGGCCTGACTAGTTAGGGCAGCAGTGGATGAAACCAGGCTAGGTCTAGAGGCCGGGGAGTGAGCAGTAGGATGGGGCAGACAGAAAGGCAAAGCTAGCTCTTTTTGAAGCCTTTGACCAGTTGCCAAGGATAACTTTGCCCAAGCCCAGAAGAGCTGAGCTGCCAGCTTTTGGCATAGGAAGCCAGGATAGAGGAGAAATGGGACAGGAAGAAGGCCACACACTCTCCCATCAGATAAGATATGCAGCTGGGGGTGGGGGTGGGACCTGAAACCCTGACTCACCAACCAGCACTCACATCATCTCCACTGCCCCTCCTTGGCCCAAAGAGCAAGGCTGACATTTGCTTTTTATGCATAGGAAGGACAGAAACAACCACCACCTACTAGCTGCAGTCTGAGGGATAGTAGATGGACCTTTACATCCTCACATCTCTCCTCTTGCCTGTTCTAGAACAGAGAGGGTGGGGGGAGGAGCGTAGGGACTGTGCGGTCTGGGCCTCTCACCAGTCTTACAAATAAGCTGCTGAGGAGGAGGATGGCAGTGCTGGCTAACTAAGCAGTCATATTTCTCAATCACTGTGCAAATGGATTGATATGGATTATCTTACTTCCCCTTTGCAATAATCCTGTAAGGCAATACTGTTATTATACCCATTTTCCAAAAATGGGAACCGAGGCTGAGAGAGATGAAGTCACTACCTCTGGTCACACAGCTAGCAAAGGTGGGTCTGGGATTAAGTCCAGGCGGTGGCTTCAGAGAGCCTGATCCTTCCCATTGCCCCAAACAGCCTTTGTTCTGTGCTGTGAAACTGATGTCTAAAGATGAGTTTGCTGACACACCCACTGTGCCCTGCTGGGCTGGTGGTCCTGCTGTGTTTCCTGTTGGCATCCTAGAGTTTCTAGCTTCATTCTTTCCAGTGCTGATGCTTTAGTCTCCAGAAAGCCAAAATCTGGATTTTCCGCCTCTCTTCTTCACACCCAATAGCTAGCTCTCCCTCCAGAAAGAAGTAAGGTCCAGAGAGAATGAAGGGATGCAGAGAAAAGGCTTGGTGCTGCTCTAGGTTTCCACAGCAACAGCCTCCCTTGTTACTCCCTCTGCTTGCTGCCTGGGAAAGCTGAGGAGGGTGGTGAGGTGGGAGAGGGCAAGGATCTTGTCTCCTTTCTTTTCCTCCCTCACTTCCCTGCAGGTTGGGCAGCTAGGTTGAACCGAAAGCTTATATCTGACCAACCTGCTGGATGGAATTCCCCACCTCCTGCCCCCACTCAAAGCTTAGCAGCTGAGGCCTTGTAACTAGGGGTCCTCCCAGGCAGAAGGGCCACCTGGTCCAAGCCGCCCAACAGCAATCCTCTCCCTAATCCCAAAGGCTGTGATGTGAGCTCCCTAGAGAGGATCTCATGTTTGTACTTCCAGAGTCTACCTGGAATAGATACTCAATGAGTTGTTGAATGAATGACTGAATGAATGAACCAACCAATAGCGATCTATTCTATACTGTAGCCACTGCCATTCATTTTCACTTCCTCAAAACATTATGTTCAGTCTTCCCTCTATGTCTTTGCCAATACAGTGCCTCTACCCACACTTTCCCATTGCACAGGACTAACTCCTACACCCCCTTCACATCTCAGCTTGGAGGTTACTTTGTCAAAATTCAAAACTTTTGCACTTCAAAAGACACCATCAAGAAAATGAAAAGCAATAGATCAGGAGAAACTATTTGCAAAACAGACCTCTGGTAAAGGACGTACATTTGAGCCTAAAGATGACCAAAGGGGCCCTGAAGGAGGGTGCTGCCGGCAAGAGAGCTCCTGGGTCTGTAAGTCTTGTGGTCTCTCCACCGCATTTGTTCTTTTGCAGCAACCCCGTAGCTGAGCGGAGCCTCCAGGCCTGACGTGGACCTTCACTGGAGAAGCGACTCAGGTGGGAAAAGTCTCCCCGGGCCTCTTCACCTGCAGGATCGCCTTCCTACACCTTCCCCTGCCCTCTTCCTTAGCGCGGGCTCCTCCCAGTGACCACCAGCAGAACTGCAACCTCCTGCCGTAGCTGACCTAGAGCTTGAGGTAGCTCAGGTACCAGCTCCTTCATCCAAGAGACCTTAGAAATGCCATTGGCTGCTGCTCTGATGCTCCGGCAGAAGGTGTGCAGTTAAAGTGTACTGTGTTCGATGTAAACTATTATGAGTTTGCATTTGGCTAAACGTGCTAGTGAGTGAGTGAATCAGCCACCTGGGGTAGACATAGGAAAACCATGGGTAGCCTAGGCAGAGTTCGATGGAGCAGGAATTAGGGAAACTGAGAAAGACAGGCAAGAGACTTCCGGATCCTGCTAGATGCTAATCTAGAGGATGGGAGTGGGAGGAGTTTTGTGCACCCCTTCCTTTTCCAGGACTACTCTCAGGTCCTCCCTCGTGGGTTCTGTGAGTGAGCACAAAAGCCCAGACTCCCAGGCTACCTCCCATCCCCTGCTTCAGTCCCTTTACCTTTATTCCTTCTCCATCCCAATCTCCCAGTCCCCCCTCAACTCCTGGAACCTTTCCATGGCACCCCCTGGATCTCCACTCTTCATTTTGCACATATTTATGGATGCTCCCCGTGCTCCAGGTTTTGTTCTGCAAGACTGACACATCCTAGCTCACTCACTCCTCTGAACAGCCCTGTGAAGCGGGTACTAATGGCTGTTGCCATTTCCACTTTACAGAGGAGTAAAGTGAGGCATGGAGACCATAAGCACCTTGCTAAAGGTCACCCAGTGAGTGATGAGCGAGCGTTGGAGGTGAGACTCTGTGTCATGGAGCCCACAATGCCCAGAAGCATCCCCAGCCCCTCGGTCCCCCACCTTCCTGCTGGGAGACTCCCCAGCCCAGCTTCTCTTTCCACCCTCATAGAAGGTGGTTCCTGCTTTTCCCCCAACACCACTGGCCTGGGGATGGTGACACGCCTTTCTTGTTCCTCTTGGCAACGTTGAGACTCTTCCTCCCTGCTTTCTCGGACCACAGGTGTCAGCCTAGATATCTTGCTGCCTGTCTTTGTTAGTCATCGAGGAGCCCCCCAGGCCACTCTTCCCTTCCCACCTCACTGTCTCCCCAGTGCCTTTCCTGTCTCCATTCTCGCTGATGTCAAGGTTTAAATCTCCACAAAGATGATCCTTCTAACACTCAGCTGCGCGCTCCTACAGTCATGCCCTAGACCCGATCACCACCATCAGCTGCAATCTCTGTCATCTCAGCACCAGGCATCCCACTTTCCTCGTGCCACTCCCTCTGCGCTACACCTACTAGTCATCCACAATTCTTCCACCTCCCCTTGGAATTCCAGTACCTTTCCCTGTTCCTCACCCATCTGGCAACTCATTTCTCTCCTGACTCAAATTCCATGGCCAATCATTGGAATTATTCGCCTGCTGCACCCTCAACCCTCTTGTCTTATGCTCATGCTTGCTTGGGGAAGCCTCTACCCCAACTAAGTCTTCCACGCCTGTGGCCATCCAGGTGAATACAGCACAGCAAGCCTGGCTGCCCTCGTCAATTCAAGATCGTGAGCCTCCGCGGGCCCCACTGCTGCCTGGCTGTCCTACTCCATTTCCCTAATCCATCCTCTCTCATTCCCCTAGACCTCTATTTCGACCTTTCTTCCTGTCCTCAAACATCCAACATCTGCCCACTACCAGCACTTCACACTCCACTGAGACCTCATTTCTTTTTTTACTGAGAAACTAGAAGCACGGCTGGGTGTGGGGGCTCATGCCTGTAATCCCAGCACTTTGGGAGGTAGAGGTGGCTGGGTCACCGGAGGTCAGGAGTTCAAGACTAGCCTGGCCAACATGGCGAAACCCATCTCTACTAAAAATACAAAAATTAGCCAAGTGTGGTGGTGGGTGCCTGTAGTCCCAGCTACCCAGGAGGCTGAGGTAGCAGAATTACTTGAACCCCAGAGGCAGAGGTTGCAGTGAGCAGAGATTGTGCCACTGCACTCCAGCCTGAGTGACAGAGTGAGACTCTGTCTCGAAAAAAAAAAAAAGAAAAAGAAACTGGAAGCAGTAAGGACAGAACACTCACCGGCTCCCACCGCCACACCCGGGACCAGCCAGCACCAGGGCATGCATGCTGCCTTTCCGTCCCACTCCTGAGCCAACAGCCTAGCTCCCAGCAAACACCTCCACCTGAGCACTGGTTACCAGCCCTCCTGCCGTCTCACATTGCTCCAGCAATTCCCCCTCCTCCTACTTCTTCCACTGAATCATTCCCACCACTATATGTGTTATTTCTCCCATCTTAACCACTTTCACCTCCAATTACTCTTCCAGAGAGTTGTTTTTGCCACTCATTCCAAGTCCTCTCCTGTCATTCTGTCTGGAACCTATTCCAGTGTGGCCACCTGCACATGGCGTAAACCATGGTTTATTTGGCCGGGCCCGGTGGCTCGTGCCTATGCTCTCAGCACTTTTGGAGGTGGAGGAAGAGGAGTTCAGGACCAGTCTGGGCAACATAGTGAGACCCTGTCTCAATTTAAACAAAGAAAGAAAGACAAACCATGGGGCGTTCTCAGTTGTCATCTTACTGGATGGAAGGAAGGAAGGAAAGGAAGGAAGGAGGGAGGAGGGAGGGAGGGAGGGAGGGAGGAGGAAGGAGGGAAAGAAGGAAAGAAGGAAGGCAGGAAGGCAGGGAGGCTGGCTCATTCTCGGTTGCCATCTTACTTGATCACATCAACACCGGTTCCTCCCTCCTCATGGAAACATTGTCTTCGTTCAGTCCAGGCCACCACCCTCTCCTGCTTTTCCTCCTTCCTCACTGGCTGCTGCTTCTCAGCCTCCTCCTCTGTTCCTTCCTCCCCTGTCTTGTAGATATTGGAGGGCCCTGAGGCTCCCAGCCTGGATCTCTCCTCTCTCACTACATTCTCTTCTATGATTCAGGGCTTTGCCAAGAGCTGTCGCCATGCTGGTGGCTTCTGCCTCACACTTACGTCTCCAGTCTCTCTTCTAAACTGCAGACTCACCTGTCCAACTCCCTGCTCCCCATCTCCACTTAGCATGTCCCAAACTCAACTCCTGGTTGTACCCCTGCTTGCCCTCCCCCTCCCACCAGCACTGTCCGTGTCCAGCCTGCACTTTGCACCTCTCCCATTCCATAACAGCAACTCTGTCTTCCAGCAGCTCAGACCAAAAACCTGAGAATCATCCCTGACTCCTCTCCCTCTGTTGCATCCCCCATCTAATCTGCTGGCGAATCCTGTTGGCTCCACATTCAGAATATTTCCAAAATCTGAGCACATCTCCCACCTCCACTGCCCCCATCCCTGTCCAGGCTACTGTTCTCTCCTGCCTGGACCCTGGCTGAGCTCTCTGCATCTACTTCTCTGCTTGTTCACCCCTCCTGCTCCCCCATTTAGTCTCCATATGGGGATCAAAGAGATCTCATTAAAACAAGTAATTGTAGGCCAGGTGTAGTGGCTCACGCCTGTAATCCCAGCACTTTAGGAGGCAAAGGCAGGAGAATCACTTGAGGTCAGGCGTTTGAGACCAGCCTGGGAACATAGTGAGACCCTTGTGTCTATCACAAAATGTTACAAACTAGCCTGGTGTGGTGGCATGCACCTGTAGTCCCAGCGACTCTTGAAGATTGCTTGAGCCCAGGAATTGGAGGCTACAGTGAGCTATGATCATGCCACCGCACTCCAGCCTGGGTGATAGAGCAAGGCTCTGTCTCTCTCTTAAAAAAAAAAAAAAAAGTCATTTTAATTCACTCCTTGGCTCACTCCCCATGCCCTTCGCCCTGCCCTGTGCAGCCTCACTGGTCTCGTTACCTCCCCAACTCTCTGGTCAAGCTCAAAGCCCAGGGCCTCTCCTCCACTTAAAGAGCTCTTTCCCCTACAGTTGCATGCTTCACTCCCCTTCCTCAAGTCCTTGCTCAAATGTCACTCTCTCAGCGAGGCCTTCCCTGATCACTGCTTTACAATTCTAACGTCATCCTCATCCCTCCTCTTTGTTTACCCCGTAGAATCCCGCAAGGGAGAGATTTTTATTTATCTTGTTCACTGGTGCATTTGTCTAGCGCAGAGCAGGTGCTCACCAAATATTTGAATACATCAATGAATGGATAAATGAGTCTACTTTTCTTGAATGGAAATAAAGAGTTTCCAGGTAGGGGTGAGGTCTAAAGCCAAAATGAGTGATCTTTTGAGAGAAGAACAACCTTGCAGATAAGTTCAAGCAGCTACCAGATACCTCCCATTTTCACCCACCCTTCCCACTCTTACCCGCGCCTGAGGAGTGTGATGCCAGGGATGGAAGGCTCTGCATTGGTGTCTTACTAAAGTGTTCAGGCTCACGGAGTTGGCTCTGGTCCCTGGGTAGGTGCTGGTCTCCCTAGTTCAAATGCTGGAAGACAGAGACCTTTCTAAGCCAGGCACAGAAATAACAAACTTCACCTATTCCCAGTTATTTGTGGGAGCTAAAAACTAAAACAATTGAACTCACGGAGATGGCAGAAGCTGGTTGCCAGAGGCTGAGAAGGGTATGAGGGTGGTGGGGAGTGGGAATGGGTAATATGTACAGAAAAACAGAATGAATAAGATCTGGTATTTACTAGCACAACAGGGTGACTGTAGTCAAAGACAATTTAATTGTATATTTTAAAACAACCAAAAGAGTATAATTGGATTGTTTGTAACACAAAGGATAAATGCTTGAAAGGATGGATACCTCATTTATCCTGATGTGGGTATTACACATCGCCTGCCTGTACCAAAACATCTCAGGTACCCCGTAAATATACACACCTACTACGTACCCACAGAAGTTAAAAAAAAAAAAAAGACAGGGACCTTTCTTGAGTCACTGCAAGTGCCAGGCACTGCATTCCCTAGAAGCTTTGCCCCTTACCATGGCTGGAGGGTGACTGGATCACAGAACTGTTGAATGCAGAGATGGTTGTCAGTGAGCCCCATCTGCATGGGCGTTCTGTGAACACAGGGAGCTTTGACTTCCAACCTGAACATTTCCACGCTGGGTCTGACCCACCTTTGTGAGATTTGTCCATGTATATATACAAGAGAAACTTCCCAAGGTAGAACTGGAAAGGCCTGTTTGGATGTGCATTTTACAGCTCTTGTTCCAGGGATCCAGTGGTACAGAGTAAGAACTCTCCCAGGAAGCCGGAGCCAGCCTGTCACACCAGCCCTGGGTTAGGGCAGCTGTTCTCTTGCAGAACAGGGCTGTGTGCCATCTTGTGGGCTGACCCTCTTGTCTGGGTCTGAAGTGGCCATCCCACTACTCCCCAGCAGGCTTCTGTGTTTTGCAAAGTGCAAGGGAGTCTTTGTGTCTGACCTGGACACCCTCTGTTCCCCAGGGAGCCTCCCAGGATGTCTGCCTCACCACTCAACCTGAGTGGAGAGGTAAAGTTAAAGAACATGACGGTGGATGAATGCTTCCAGTCTCGGAGCACCGTTCTCCAAGGGCAGCCCTTCGGGGGCGTCCCCACTGTGCTGTGCCTGAACCTCGCCTTGTGGCTGGTGAGTCCTGGGTGCTGCAGGAGACACACAGTAAAGCCTCAGACAGGGTCAGACTTTCCCAGGTGACACAGTGGAGGACCCAGTTGTCCAAATGGACAACAGCCACAATGATGGGAACTGCCTGCATGTCAGCCTTGCCCAGGGTAGCCCTGGTAGGTGGGCTTCGGAGAGAAGAGCCTGGAAAAACAGGCAGAATTCTGCGATTCTCTTCCATGCGTCATTGTCCAAAGGTCCACCTGGCCTCCTTTCTCTTCCTCATTGCTGAGATCTTCAAGGCACATTCTGGTCCCATAGATCTGCACATGCCGGCAGCTCCTTCATTCAACAAACTCTGAGCATGCACTCTGCCCAGAACCTGCTGGGCGCTGCTGGAAACCTGGAGTTGAAAGAAATGGCGCCTACTCCAGCAGAGTTCACCTTCTAGTGGAGGAGCTCCCTGGGGACCTCAGGGACAGGGTCTCCCCCAAGGGAATGCAGGGGGCCAGCCAAGGGGAAGGGATCCCTGAACTCTCTCACCCCACATTGCTTTTCCTGGCCTGTAGCTCGTCCTCCTGATTTACTCCTTCCTCCGGAAAGCTGCATGGGACTACGGGCGCCTGGCTCTGCTGATACACAATGACAGGTGAGGAGGGGTCTGGGTGGGTGAGCTGTTGCCCCCTTGGGGAGAACCTGCTGCCAAGGCCAGGACGCAGCCAGCAGGTGGCATCTCATCGCTGGCCCGTGCCCCTGCTCTGCCCTCCCTGCAGGAAGGGAACTTGGAGGGCAGCCATCCCTGGGTGTAAGGCCATGTTCTTCTCTGGTCTTAGACTTTCTGGATCACGTGGCTGGACTCCCAGGATGCCTGGTGCACCTGGCACAGGGGCGACTGCTGTCTATGCCCAGAGCTGTGTGCTCTGCAAAGGAACTGAGGCACACCTGCCCCGGGCAGAGCAGAGGGCAGCCCTCAGCCAGGCAGTGGAGAGGAAGCAGGGCAGGCAGCTGAGACCTTTCTCTCCCTTCCTACCTCCCTGCCCCTTCCCTGGCTGGCAGCCTGACCTCGCTGATTTATGGGGAGCAGAGCGAGAAGACATCTCCCTCAGAGACTTCCTTGGAGATGGAACGCAGAGACAAGGTGAGTGTTGGGAGCAGTGTGGGCGGTGGGACTCCCAGCACTGGGCAGGTGGGTGTGGTGTGCACAGGGGGAAGCACAGCTTTGCAATGAGCCAGACTCAACCACTCCAGCAGTGTGACCTTGAGCAAATTCCTCGGCCTCCCCAAGACTCAGTTTCTCCACCTGAAAGATGGAGATATTGACCATACCTACTACCAGGGTGCCAAGTGAGTGTTAACTAATTAAGAGACCTTGAGAGATTTTTAACATTAATTTCTCTTCTCTGCTCAAATCTCCAGCCCTTCTCACAGTCCCGTCTTGCCCACATCCCCGCCCCTCACTTGGAATCAAGGCCTCACCTCCTATTTCATGTAGAAGATTCTAGTCATCCGTCAGGGAGTCCCTCAGCCTCAGGCTTCCCAGCCCTGTTTAGTGGAGCCCAGTCAGCTACTTCCTCCTGTTTCCTGGAGAAGGCCAGCCCTCTACCCGACTTCAGCCACTTGTTGGGAAGCACCTGCTGTGTGCCAGCCGCTGGTCTGGGAGCTAGGGACCAAGTCCTGCCTTGTGACGCTGTCTTCCCGGGCAGGAGAGGTGACCAGACAGACGTGTAGACTGGCAATAAGGCCTGGTGGAGAACGCTGGTGGGGGGGGGTGGGGTGGGTGCGGCACAGGGGGAATCAGGGATGGTCGTGGGCAGTGGTGACATTTCAGCGGGGCCATGAATGCTGTAAGAGAGGGAGCCCTGAGAATGGCCTCCCCGCCCCCTCCGCCCACAGCTGAACTCCTGACAGTGGCCCATGCCACTGTCACTTCCTCGCCTCCCACTCACGCCTCCCCTCCCGCTCACGCCCCACCTCCGGCTCACGCCCCACCTCCCCACCCACTCACGCCTCCCCTCCAACACATGCCCTGCCTTCCACTCATCCCTCCCACTCACGCCCAGCCTCCCCTCCCACGCCTCGCTTCCTACTCGCACCTCGCCTCCCACTCACGCCTCAGCCTCTTCGAATGTGGGCTCCATCACTCCACCCAGACAACCCAGCCCTGCCATTAAATCCAATGAACTTTCCTCAGTTCACATGTTGGCTGCATTCTCAGAAACGTCCGACCCTGCAGACCTTGTTTCTCTCTTGCACAGCGCTCTCTGTTGCACTGGTGGCGTCACATTCTCTGGGTTTTCCTTCTACTCTGTCTGCCCCTCCTCTGTGTCTTCTGCAGGCTTCTTCTCCATGCCAGGAGTTCCCCCAACCAGCTGATCCCATACCCTTCCCCTGGCCCTGACTCCTGGGCAATGACGCCCACACTCACAACTTCCTTTGCCATGGATACTACTAAAGTCTTTTGCAAGGGATACTGCTAAATACTACACGGATACTGCTAAATTCCTGTCCCCAGCTAATCCTCTCGCTGGGCTCCAGCCTCATTTACCCAATGGCCCTCAAGATATCTCCACATGGAAATTGTAAAGGCATTTGGGGTTCCATTTATCCAAAGCATTTCGTGATATCCCACCACATCTATGTGTTCCTATGACCTTGGTCTCGGAGGTCTCACCATCCTCCCCAGGGCTTCCTCTCACTGTTACCCAGGCTCCCGGGCATGGCCAATGTGTCTCCATGTTGTGTGGCTTTTACCTTCCCAGCTTTCTTCTCTCCATCCCTCCTCCCATCTCCTGGTCCAGGCCTCCATCAGCCTCTTGCCTGGACAACCGCAGTAGCTCTGACTGATCCCTTTAGGTCCACACTCTCAGACCCTTATCCATTTTCCACCTGCATCCAGAGAGATTCCCATGCCTCGGACACGCATTCTGCTGCAGACCTTCACTGTCTTCCTGGGGCCTGTGGAATCAAGTGCGGATGCATGCCGTGGCCTGGTAGTTCAGTCCGTGGCTTCCTGTCCTTCCTCTCTTACTCCTCCCCACCCCCTACCCCCGCCACGTGGGTCCACCTTTTAGCTTCTCAACAGGGCCACCTGCTTCCCTCCACCAGCCCTTTCCCAGGCTCTTCCCTCTCCCCCTTCTCCAGTGGCCCTTCTCTGAGTCACCTTTTGTTGAGATTTCAGCTTAACCACCACTTCCCCAGGGAGCCCTGACCATCCCTCCTGGGTCCAGATATCTTATATGCCCACAGAAAATGCATGTCTGTCTTTCTTCCTTCCTTTCTTTCTTTTCTTTCCTTTCTTTCTTTCTTTTATCTTTCTTTCTCTTTCTTTCTTTATTTCCTTCTTTCCTTCTTTCTTCTCTTTTCCTTCCTTCCTTCCTTTCTTTCCTTTCTTTTCTTTTGTTTCACAGAGTTTCACTCTTGTTGCCCAGGCTGGAGTGCAGTGGCGCAATCTCGGCTCACTGCAACCTCTGTCTCCTGGGTTCAAGCAATTCTCCTGCCTCAGCCTCCTGAATAGCTGGGATTACAGGTGTGCACCACCACACC